CAAGCATTTCGACTAGATTTAACTAACGCTTCTGAAGGGTTAACGCAATGCTCAGGAAGAGTGTAGCAGATGTCACTGTGAAGTAATGAAGATGTCCAATCAGTTCTTCAGTTTCTGAAACCAAAAAAAAAAATAATAATAATAAATACTTGCAAAAGCCATGCGGACCAGGCAAAGGATAAAAAGCTCAGGCAATATCTGCTCAACACCTTAGGACTGCAGGAAGGTTAAAAGTCTGACTTGATATTTAGCTGGCTTCCCATAATCACATTTAGCTTACAAAAAGAGCACCAAGCCACCAAGTAAGCAAAAGTAAACCGTCCAATAACATTTAGGTTTAGGATGTATGTGACCACCCCCACAGACTCCCAGATAGGAGCTACATACAGGATGCTTTGAAAAAAAGGCAACAAATTCAAACTGGAAGACTCTTCAGTCTCACCTGCATCATCCAGTCGCTGCATCACGCACTCCTACCGTGTAGCCTATTAGCATTGGATCACACCTCCTCTTAGCCAATCATTAAACAAACCTCCCTTTAAAAGGCCCTCCACCCTTCCCTCCATCTGCTCATCAGCCCAGCTTCAACCCACCTCCACCCTTGTTCTCTTGGCTCCTTCAGGCTTCCATCCTCTCTTCAGCCTCCACCACCAGTGTCCGGGCCCTGAAGGGAGGACATCTTTGATCCCCATTCTAAGTTGCTCATCCAAGCTTATTACAATTCACAGCGCCATCTTTTGCTGAGATCTGGGCGCCAAAATCTGAATTTATTCACGTCAAATAAAACTTTGTAATCATAGATTTTTCTTTGTCTGAGTCTCTCCACGTTGAAATATATTGTAAGCCTGTCAATTGTAAATCTTTTTCTTTTTTTTCTGTCAACTCTTGTATTATGAAATCAACTTATAGCAGCTGCATAGAATCTTTTAATACCACCCAGAGGTAAAATAAAAGTCTTCCAACCTATCACATTACCTACCTTCAAAATTAACTACATCAAATTTGAAGAAACATTTGGAGTTGCAGCATCGCACAGCACAAAGTGACAGCAAACCCCACCAGGTGGTCCGAAGCTGAAGGCTGCAAATAAAATGCTAAAAGTAAGGCGATGGTTGCAACGGTGAGAGAAATTTGTCCTGTAATCGTGGGTTGTTGGTTCAAGCCCCAAAAACTGTTTGTCTCTGTCGTGTCCGTAGGCAAAGCGCTTCAGCCTTTACCTGAAGATAGTCAGAAACACCCCTGGTTCCAGTATGTAGCTGCGTCGCTACCAATTAGTGTGTGAATGAGAATTTCATTGTAAAATGTCTTTGTGTAGGCTGCACAGTGGCGCAGTTGGTAGAGCTGTTGCCGTGCAGCAAGAAGGTTCTGGGTTCGATTCCCGGCCCCGGTCTTTCTGCATGGAGTTTGCATGTTCTCCCTGTGCATGTGTGGGTTTTCTCTGGGTACTCCGGTTTCCTCCCACAGTCCAAAAAACATGACTGTTAGGTTAATTGGTCTGTCTAAATTGCCCCTAGGTGTGTGTGTGCGCATGGTTGTGTGTCTGTGTTGCCCTGCGACAGACTGGCGACCTGTCCAGGATGTACCCCGCCTCTCGCCCAGAACGTTAGCTGGAGATAGGCACCAGCACCCCTCCCGACCCCACTGAGGGACAAGTGTGTTCGGAAAATGGACGGAGGGATGTCTTTGCGTGTCCAGAAAAGCACTGACATGTCTGATATAATTTAAAGAACCCACAGGAGAAGAGGAGCTTCAGATTAACTCTCTATAATGTCAGGAGAAAGTTTTTTTTAACTACCTAGTGTAGATTTAAAAGAAAATTTACCTGCAGTTCAATTTTGTTTGACTCTAAGGTTTGTTTTTATCTTAAATATCCCAAGCAAAAACTTTACACAAATAAACAAATGAATTCAACTGAAAAAAACCCAATCAAGTTATTTTTTTGCCCGTCATGCAGGTTTCATATGTGTGTTCTGTGCTCATAAATGAGAAAGGGAGAGTCCTTTCAGTTCTTTTGTCCATGCTAGTCCACACAGAGGTTAACAGCATTGATGCCTGGGTGATTCCAGCTCAAGCACTCTCATCAGCAGCCTTATTCTCTCTGCCGGCTGCACCCTGACCTCCCAATAACCATACAGCATTGTTTCTATTTACTACTTGCCGGAGGTGGGGCGGGAGGGGGGGGCAGAACAGGAGAAAGAGTGTGGTACAAAAAAAGATAGTTGTGGCTGCTATTGATTGGCTTCCACATGTATTGAAACCAGATATTGATTTTCTTTTTTTTTTCCAAATGGGAAAAAGTGCATTGTCCAACTGAAGGAGATTTCTGTGGGGATTTGGGGAAAGAGAAGTTGAAATGAGCATCCGGTGCTTCGTTGTCTCCTGTGGATTGTGTATAGGGCTGTGGTAATTGAATTGAGCGAATAGGACCCTTCTTCGATGTGTGCTCTTCCAAGAGTTTCAAGCTTTTCAATGGATATCTGTAATATTTCAGTTGAGGTGACTTTAAGAAGCTTAGAAGTTTTGGGAGATGCATTTAGAGTCCGAGTTGTTGTCGGACTTTGACTAAATTGGCTAGAATGTTTGTGATATTTTGCACAGGTGAGATGGGCTGATCAGCAGCATTGGATGTGAAATGGGAAAACATTTGAAGTCAGACGGAGTCATTTGGGGCAGAACACAAAAGCAGAGATAAAAAGAGATTTTGTATATTTTAGTTCCTCTCTGCATTTGAATTTTTTTCATAAACAATTAAAGTACACAAAATAAATGCTGAAATTTCTCTCACTAAACTTAGACAATATAGGAAAATGCAATATTTTCACAAAGACAATTTTCAATAATCTTTGATTCTGGGAGAATTTCAGCAGCTGGGCTCAGTTTGTCCAACATTGTTTTAGAGGGATTTAAGCAACATCCAACATTTTGACAGGTTCAAATCTCTTCATTTGTTTTTAGTCATTCCTTTTGCTAGAGAAAACACTAAGGTATTGAACCTTAGTGTTTGTAGAACAAAAAGACCTATTCATCTTAGTGCTATAGATGCTCAGAAATCTATTTGGATACAAATCTAAACGCAGACGTATACATGTACAAACCTTCCACTCTCGCCAAAACTCTTTTGCAGGAGGCAGTGCCACTAATATTCATCACATTCATCACCCATCACAGGACACCTATGATACATATTTTAGAAGGAATTTCACTACAAAAATCAAAATATTTCTTATACCTGTTACATATATCTATAACTTTAAATTGCACATTTCTTAGAACATGAGTATGCTGTTTTCAGCTATGCATTATTAGTGTCTCCTAGCCAAAAGAAGTGGGCCTATCCTATTGTTTTTTGTATGTTTTTTCCTCTATTACAGTATTATTCTTGTCTGCTAAAATTTGGAAACTATACCCTGATACTTTTTATGACTTTTATTATGTGTATGGGTTGAATTCTCATTCAAATCTCATTGACAAA